TATTTATTTATTATATATACAATATTCTATCTGTGTGTATGCCTGCAGGCCAGAGGAGGGCACCAGACCTCATTACAGATGGTTATGAGCCACCATGTGGTTGCCGGGAATTGAACTCAGGACCTTTGGAAGAGCAAGCAATGCTCTTAACCACTGAGCCATCTCTCCAGCCCCCTCATCTTTTACTTTTATATAAGATAATAGTATGTAGGGCTGGAGAGATGGCTCAGTGGTTAAGAGCTTTGCCTGCTCTTCCAATGGTCCCGAGTTCAATTCCCGGCTCACAACCATCTGTAATGAGGTCTGGTGCCCTCTTCTGGCCTGCAGGCACACATGCAGAAAGGATATTGTATACATAATAAATAAATAAATATTTTAAAAAAAAAGATAATAGGCCGGGCGATGGTGGTGCACGTCTTTAATCCCAGCACTCAGGAGGCAGAGGCAGGCGGATCTCTGTGAGTTCGAGACCAGCCTGGTCTACAGAGCTAGTTCCAGGACAGGCTCCAAAGCCACAGAGAAACCCTGTCTCTAAAAACAAAACAAAACAAAACAAAAAGATAATAATATGTTACTTGCATGATTCTAAATACTTATTATCTCAGTCATTTAGACTATCTTCTATTCAGCACCTTGGAGATAGAGGCAGGCAGATCTCTGTGAGTTGGTGGCTAACCTATTCTATGGAGCAAGTTCCAGGACAGCCAGAGCTACACAGAGAAATCCTGTCTCAGCCCCCCATCCCCCAAGAAGAGTTGAAGGATAGAAAGACGACTCAGCTGTTAAGAGCACTTACTGTTTTTCATAGGACCCAGATTTAGTTCCCAGCAACTGCAGTGCAGCTCACAACTGTCTGTAACCCCAGTCCCAGGAGATCTGGCAGCCTTCTTGGGCATAGCACACATGTGGTATTCCATGCAGGTCAGATACACACAAAATAAAAAAAAAGAGAAATTATTTTTAAAAAGTGTCGGGGGGTACACAATGTAATTGGATGGTCCTAAAGTTATAGATCCAAAAATTCAGATCAAAGCCGCGCAGTGGTGGCTTTGCCTTTAGTCCCAGTGCTCAGAATGCAGAGGCAGGGGGATCTCTGAGTTTGAGGACAGCCTGGTCTAAAGAGTGTGTTCCAGGACAACCAAGGCTACACAGAGAAACCCTGTCTCAGAAGAGAGAAAGAGAGAAAAAGTCTAAATCAACAAGGAGAAAGATCCCTTTAAAACCTGGCATAGGCAGGTAGACAGGCCTGGTCTACGGAGTGAGTTCCAGGCCAGCCAAGGCTACTCAAAGGAAAAAAGGTATAGGGAAGGCAGGCAGAGAAGAAGGGAAAAAGAGAAGAAAAATGGGCTTTGAACATAGACAGGAATAAGCTAAAAAAGATTGGGGGGTGGAATACAGCAAATGCAAAAAGAAAGTCCAGAAATAAAAAAGATTTCTGTTACCAGGGCCAGGGAGACCACTCAGTATAAAGGCATGTGGCCAAGCCTGCTGTCCTGGGTTCAGTCCCCTTGGCCAGACTTTTAGCTAAGCCCAGTGTTACCACCATCAGAAACAAATATTAGGGCTCGGTGGAAGAGAAACATTCACAAGACCCTTGTGAATTTGATTTGATCCCAGCACTTTAAAAAAAAATGTGGAGTAAACATTCAGTTAAGGAATTTGGGTGTTTAGGGCGGTAAGCGTCCTAGCAGGAAAACCCAACTCAGATGGCTCCAAAGGCAGGGAAAGTGAGAGAGAGTGCTGCTGGACTTCAGCTCCACCTCTCTCTAGATCTACAGGCACGCCCTTGTCTGCAGGAGTGTTGTCCCTGGCTGAAGGCAGGGACTCCACACAGAAGCACCTCAGGCAGAGGAAAAAGCGCCATTTCACCTACTAAGAAAGGGACAATTTTCTATTAGTCTCTTTGGAGACTTTCCTTCAAAATCCATTGGTTTGGCCGGGCAGTGGTGGTGCATGCCTTTAATCCCAGCACTCGGGAGGCAGAGGCAGTTGGATCTCTGTGAGTTCGAGACCAGCCTGGTCTACAGAGCTAGTTCCAGGACAGGCTCCAAAGCCACAGAGAAACCCTGTCTCGAAAAACCAAAAATAAATAAATAAATAAATAAATAAATAAAATTTTTAAAAAAATCCATTGGTTTGAACTGACTTACAGTTCCCATCCTGTCCCTCTGCCGGGGTGGGAGAGAAACATAGCTGGTTTAGTATAGCTAGCATATGGCTGTGTGGAGGAAGGTGCTCTCAAGCACCAGAATGTGGGACTTGAGAAAGAGAGAGGAGGAGGAGGAATTGATGTTAATTAAGCACCAAACAGACTCTTCTCCATTCATAAAACTTCCCTGTGAATACGATGAAATGATCCTCCACTTCCCTTTATTCCGGTTCTCCTTTTACCTAGAATCCATCTGAGTAACAGTTTAACAGGTTCTTAAATACCAGGAAAATAACCGCTAGAAACTCCTACCTCTCAGTATGAAATTTAAAATTTGATATTGTGCGGTTAAGAGCACTAGTAATTCTTTTAGAAGACCCAGGTTCAGTTCCCAGCACCCATGTGGAATAATCTCACAGCAGTCTGTGATACCGACTGGGATCCAATACCTGGCCTCCTCAGGCACTGAATACAGGTGATACACAGAAATAGGTAGAGGCAAAACACTCATACACATAAAAAATAAAAATAAAGGTTAAAAATGTTTAAAATGGTGTCGTGGAATATTATTTTAAGACGTGTTACATTTGTTTCTGCTGTAGAACATTTGTTTTAATGACACAAAGATGTGTTGCATTCTTTCATGTTGCATTTGTTTAACTCTGTGAAACTAAGTTTCTTTGCCTGTCTAAAACACCTGATGGTCTAATAGAGAGCTGAACAGCCAATAACTAGACAGGAGAAAGGGTAGGCGGGGCTGGCAGGCAGAGAGAATAAATAGAAAGAGA